AAAGGGGTGGTCGTTACATGCGACCATCCAGCCTCGTGGCCTTAATCATGATGGATTTTTATTTTTGAACACATGCCCACCCTCAAAGGGGTGGTCGATACATGGGACCATCCAGCCTCGTGGCCTTAATCATGATGAATTTTTCCTTCGAGCGCATACCCACCCTCAAAGTGGTGGTAGTTACATACGACCATCCAGTCTCGTGGCCTTAATCATGATGGATTTTTATTTTTGAACACATGCCCACCCTCAAAGGGGTGGTCTTACATGCGACCATCCAGCCTCGTGGCCTTAATCATGATGGATTTTTATTTTTGCATATGACCTGTCATCAAGGTTAATCGAGGAATTCCAGCTATATAAAATAATTTGATAAACAATAAATTGTAGAAATTCCAGTATGCCGCTTCATTGATTATCAAGTAAAGGAGTTCATTACATTGGTTCCATCGAGTTTCTTTATAAATAAAAAGAAAAATTTTAAGTATAATATTTCTTCAAGTTAGCCACATTCCATGACCTGGCTAGAGATCTTCCTTCTGCATCCTTTAAAGAGTATGCCCCTCCAGCATGGACCTTTTCGACCAGGTATGGTCCTTCCCAGTTCGGCTCTAATTTTCCGACATGCTTCAACACATCGACTCTTTTCCACACCAAATCGCCCACCTGGAATCTTCGTACTCTCAGCTTCCTATCATGCGTTGCTCGCATCCTCTACTTGTATGCCTCGACTCTGATTGAGGTTTTTCCTCGAATCTCTTCGATTGTGTCGAGCGCTGCCATCATTAAATGTTCATTTTGTTCTCGATCATATGTGCTCGATCTTTGAGACTGAACTTCGACCTCTACCGGAAACAAAGCTTCCATTCCATAAGCCATACTGAACGGTGTTTCTCCAGTGGTCGATCGAGGTGTTGTCCTGTATGCCCAGAGCACCTAAGTAAGCTCATCCACCCATGCTCCCGACGCCTTCTCCAGCCTTGTTTTGAGACCGTTCAGTATGATTCTGTTGGTCACCTCGACCTGCCCGTTGGCTTGTGGGTGCGAGACTGAAGCAAAGTGTTGCTTGATTTTCATGTCATCGCACAATGCTCGAATCCGCTTGCCATTAAACTGTGTCCCGTTGTCCGACACCATTACCTTGGGAACCCCGAACCTGCAACATATGTTGCTATATAGGAAATGTATCACTTTCTCCTTCGTGATCTTTGCTAAAGGTTTGGCCTCCACCCAATTCGTAAAGTAATCAACTGCAACGATAAAAAATTTCCTTTATCCGGTTCCCTGAGGCATGGGCCCAACCAGGTCGATACCCCATTGGGCGAATGGAATGGGGGCACTCATCGTCGTCATTGCCTCGGCCGGTTGATGAATGAGCAAGCCATGCTTCTGGCATTGTAAACACCTCCGCACCATCACCTTTGCATCTTCCCTCATCGTCGGCCAGAAATATCTGGCCCTCAGCACCTTCGCCACCAGGGAGCCTGTCTTGCTGTGGTCGCTGCAGCATCCCTCGTGGATTTCCTTCAACACATATCGTCTCTGGTCACACATCGCAAATGCGGGCAAGTGTGTGATCTTTTGTATAAAATCCCTCCATGCTCAAAGAATCTCCTTATTACTTTGATGGCTCCTCCCTTTAGTTCTTTAATTATGGGTGCCCTCCAATCCTCAACTTCTTCTATCTTGGTCACTTCCTTCTCGACCACACTCCTTTCCATATGTAGCAGGGTCACACTTCTGCTCTTACAGTCGACCAGACTCTGCGCCACTTTAGCTAATAAGTCCGCTCGGCCATTTTCTCCTCGAGGTATCTGGATAAACTCAAATGAATCAAGCTCCTCCTGTAGTTTCTTCATCTCCTCCACATACTTCACCATCCTTTCCTCCCTGATCTCAAACCCTTCTTGAAATTGGCCCACCACTAATTGTGAGTCTGAGTGTATCTGCACTTTTCGAGCTCCACCGGCTAGGGCCAACTTGAGTCCCTTGATGACTGCCTCGTACTCTGCTTCATTGTTTGATACCTGTTACGCCACTCTAACTGCAAACTCAAGGTTGTCACCCTTTGGCGATATAAGCACTATGCCTAGGCCACCTCCTGCCCTCGACACCGATCCGTCCGCGTATACCTGCCACACCCCTTCAGATTCCTCGCCTTCCTTCGTCCCTTCTTGTATAAAATCGGCCAGTGCCTGAGCCTTAATTGCCCTCCTCGGCTCATAGATAATCGTGTATTCGCTCAGCTCGACAGCCCAATTGACTAATCGACCAGAGACGGAGGGTCAACCCAACGTTTCTCCCAGTGGCATATTTGTTTGAACCTTCACCCTATGTCACAAGAAATATAGCCTCAGTTTTCTGACGGTAACAACCACTGCTAGAGCCCCCTTCTCGATCTTCGATTATCTTCTCTCCGCCCCTTGCATCATCTTACTCACGTAACAAATGGGGAATTGGGCTGTCCCTTCCTACCTCAATAATACTGAACTCACTGCCATCTCATCAATGGACACATACAACACCAAGTCCTCCCCTTGCACCGGTTTCGCCAACAGTGGCAGGTCGACTAGCACCTTTTGTAACTCTTCAAATGCTTTCTGAGCTTCTTCTGTCCATTCGAACTTCGAGCTTTTCCTGAGTGTTTTAAACAAGGGCCTACTCTTCTCAGCCACCTTAGAGATAAGACAGCTCAAGCCTGCTATTCGACCAGTTAAGATCTGCACCTCCTTCACCTTCGTGGGGAGCTGCATCTCGACCACCGCTCTTACTTTCTCCGGGTTGTCCTCAATCCCCCTCTTTGTAACCATGTAGCCCAAAAACTTCCCAGATTTGACCCCAAATGTGCATTTAGCCGGATTCAGCTTCATTCCATATTTCCGAAGTGTCATGAATGTTTCTTTTAGGTCGTTCACGTGATCGATATCCTCTTTGCTCTTCATCAACATATCATCCACATACACCTCCATGTTCCTCCCCAGCTGCTCCTTAAATATTTTATCCACCAATCTCTGATATGTTGCTCCTGCATTTTTAAGACCAAATGGCATTACCACATAGTAATAGGTCCCTCGGCTTGTCACGAAACTAACCCTTTTCCAATCTTCCCGCGCCAGTGGGATTTGACTATAACCCTACGACGCATCAATCAAGTTGAGTAGCTCACATCCGGCCGTGGAATCGGCCAGCTGGTCGATCCTGGGCAATGGTAAGTCCTTTGGGCATGCCTTATTCAAATCCCGAAAGTCTTTGCACATTCGCCACTTTCTCTCTGCCTTTGAGACCATCACCGTGTTCGACAACCACTCCGGGAATTGGATCTCCTTTATGTGGCCTGCCATCAAGAGCTTTTCTACTTTCAGTTCGATCACTTTATCCATTTCTACCCCGTGATGCCTCCTCTTTTGCTTCACCGGCCTCACAGTGAGGTCGATATTCAACTGGTGCTCGATAACTTCAGCCTTGATACCAGTCAACTCCTCCGTCGAGTATGCAAACACATCCACGAATTCCCTTATCATACTAATCAACCTCGATCTCACTGGCTCCCCCAATTTTTTCCCGATTCGAAACTTTTTCTCTTTACACCCCTTGATCATCTAGATTTCCTCCACTTCGCCTCCTGGCTGAATGTCCACCTTCTCCTTACCCTTCTCCAACCTTTGCCCTTCTTCCTTCGATCTCGACCCTCTCGGTCGATCAACCTCCTCTCCTTTCAACCGCGTTTGCCTCCTCGCTAGCTGTTTATTATTGCTCACAGTGGTCTGGTAGCAGCTCCTCGAGGTAAGTTGATCCCCAGCGATCTCACCTACGTTTTCGCCCACCGGATACTTGATCGTTATGTGGTACGTGGATACGACCGCCTGGAACGTGTTCAAGCTCGTTCTCCCCATTATGATGTTGTAAGATGATTCAGCTCCTACGACCACAAATCTTACCATTCGAACTTTCTGGGTCACTCCTTTTCCCAGGGCTACAAATAGACTCATCTCCCCATCGGCATAACCTCTCCCCCATTAAAACCATACAAGGCTGTAGCCACCGGCTTCAACTCCACATTCAACTCCCGATTTATTTGCACGAAGCAATCATAAAACATGACATCGACCGAGCTTCCCGTGTCTATAAATACACTTTTTACATCGAAACCTGCAACTTCTGCCGTAATCACCAAGGCATCATTATGAGGTATCACCACCCCTGCTGCATTCTCTGCCCGAAAACTAATTTCTGGTACTCGGGCCGTGATACCCACCTCCTCTCTTTTCCTCTTCATCGATCGAACATGACCCTTCCTAGCATTATTCGAGTCTCCGTCTGTCGGTCCTCCCGAAATCATATATATCGTGCCTCTCTTCACCTGGTCTCCCTCTCCTTGTCTCTCTCGTTCTCTGCTTCCTCGCCTCCTCTTCCCCTCATCTCTCTTTCGACCATCTCGACCACCTCGCGGATCCTCCTCATCATCTTCATCACTTCTCTCCACCGACTCTTCCCGACACCTCCTATTCTCCTTCCCCCTCATCTTATCCTAATAAACGAACTCCTTGAGATGCCCTGCTCGGATAAGGCGCTCTATTTTGTCTTTGAGATGTCGACAATCCTCAATAGTATGGCCATAATCCTTGTGGAAGCGACAATATCTCCTCGATTTCGGTTGTGTTGGCCCTTCAAACCTCGACCTCGGCCATGTCACATCTTTCCCATCTATCCCCTTCTCCATAGCCATCAAGACCTCGACTACCTTTGCATTCAACGGGGTATAATCATGAAATCTCTTTCCTCCAGAGATAGGCCGGTCCTTCCATCTTCCCTCGCGTCCTCGATCCTGCTTAGTTCGCCTTTCTCTCCTGGGCGAAGCTCTCCTCTTGGGCGAAACTGCCTTCTTCTTCTTCGACTCCCCGCGACCTAACTCCTTTAGTTTGGCAAACTCCGCCTCGGTCTCCTCGAGATTAATATATTTCCTACACCTTCTCAACACCTCATCATAAGTATGAGCCGGGGTCTTAGCCAGAGAGGTCCGACATGGCCCCGCTCACAAACTCCTAATCAACCCTCCCGCATTGACCTCATCGACTGCCGACGGGATCTCCAAACAAGCCTGGTTGTATCGGGCTACGTATTTGCGCAGTAACTCCTTCTCTCCTTGTCTCATCGCCACCAGGGTTAAGTACGTCTTCTCTTGAGCCACCGCACTCGAATATTGATTTGTCAACTTCTCCGCGAAAACGCAATATATACCTCAAAATTTGCGGATCCATATAGATTTCAAATATATATATATATAATCAACAGACCCAATTAACCCTGAAAAGATATTACAAATATACAGAAACCACGCGATTAAGGTCGAAAAAGAAACATAATAGGTTTATTTTGGATAGTTTCCGGGATTATATCAACACACACTTTTAATTTCAAACTATAGATGGTTTAAATTTGAATTGAAGAATATCCTATATATAGGATATACACTTACCATTATTTTTACATTTTTTTCCAAATCTCGTGATTTAAGGAACGAGACTTGTTTGTTGAGGTAACTGAAATATGGTATTATCATAAATTAAATGCATGTATTTGGTATGTTTGAAATTAAATTACTCTCACTGGTATTCTTGCAATAAAGAGTAATTCGTTGTGTATGGTTAAAAATCTATATATATATAATTACTGGCTCCTATGCATTAAATAAAACCTCATCAATTTTACCTACGTGGCAATTTCCCGCCTTTTTACGTTACTACTGTTCATTTTTTTTTTCTGAATTTACAGCTCATATTTTGAAATCCAAAGAGTTGACTTTTTAAAAAATGACAACTAATTAATTCTGAAATAATAACAAGTTGATGTTGTTACCAAATTTTTTAAAACGTAATAAATTATCTCCACAATTAGCGGTAATCATTTTTTAACCGCAATGATTGGATTAAACGAAATAAATGAAAAGAAATAAAAAATTAAAAATATTACAACCGACTAAAAAAATAAATTAAAAAAAAAAAAACTCAAAAAAC